CCATTTTTAATACTCCTCCACTAATTACCAAAAATGACATCCCTAATACTTACTGCCCACCTTTAATCACTCACTGCTTCTTCCACCCTTTGCTTTACTTTTCTTGTTGCAAAAATAATATCTAGACAAGACAAAGCGTTAGAGATGTTGTCTTGTGATTTAACATAGTATGTAATCGACGGCAGATTATATGATCCTCACTACTTTTTACTAAAAGATCCCAGATAACAGTTGGCCTTGTTGCCTTTGAATCTTCTCGCACACGAGGCCAGCCAGGTCACACATATATTTTAATTTCCTTCTCTTTCTTTAGCTGCCAATTTGAAGTGAATTACGATGTGTTTTTGGCCAATTTGAGATGCCCCTGTCCCTGAGCGGTATCATGTGGTGTGGTGGTAGCAAAGCATGACATGTGCACCTACGCTGAAATACAATAACGATAAATAGTGCTCTACATGCAGCTACCTCTTTATTTACTACCACTTTGCTTTTTATTTTTACTGAGGTTCCTTTTTACTGAATGAGTGAATGAATTGCCCTACTCTGTTCATGTTGAGTTTACTTCATTATACTTGTAGAAATGAAGTACTAGCTTTGATTCTTTCTGGTACCAGAAATTAAGTGTTTCTCATTCTTTTAGGATTAAATATTTTGTCACCTCTAATATTTTGTTTCATGCATGTATGGAAAAAAAATAACAGGGAGACATGGGGCAGCCATCCCTGATATCAGAGTATGACCTGGGAGCAGAGGGTGACCTGTTCAAGGCTCCGGAGCCCATAATCGAGGAGCCGCTGCTCGCCCTCGACCCCGTCGCCGCCGCCATCTCCATGATGTCCGGCAGCAACAACGCCATGAACGACACCATCAAGGCCTCGGACATGAGCTTGAGTGAGGCACTGTACAAGTGCGAGAAGGAGCTCATGGAGGAGTCGGCCATCGAGGAGACGATATCCGAACTGCTGAACGTCAAGATCCCCATGCTGCAGGTCGAGGACGTGCCCGGGGAGCTCAGGGCCTCTGCCGACGAATGCTCGCTCCAGAAGAGCATCAGCCTTAACTCGGCCGACTGGATGAACGGGTCGGCGGTGACGCCCAACTTCTTCGACTTCCAAGGGCTTGACTTCGAAGCGGCATTCGGGCTCCGGCGAGTCTACAGCGAGGGTGACATTCACCTTTGTGACATGGTGATGACAATTTCCTTTCTCTCCCTGTTGCACTGCACAACACAACACTAGATGGAAATGGAATTATTGTGATGACCTTTCACCTTTGTGACTCCAAGTGAGCACAGCTGTCGAAAAAAGAGACGGCAAGTACACAAACCAAACCTAAAAGGCGTTGCTTTCTCATGGCATTGGACAAAAACCTCACTGATATAGTAGTGTAGTGCTTTGCTCAACATGAAAAGGCCGTTCCGTTCCGTTATATAAATAAAAGCTATAAATAACAGCTAGCTAGTGATGTGATCTCAGAGGTTGCTAATTCTGCTCAAAGCCACCTTTCCCTTAATGGCCTCCTCACTGCTTTAGCTGATACTATAGGGCACACTCACCACTAGTATATATAGCAACACTTGCTGTGTGGTATCTTTCAAGTTGCTTAGTTTTTTCTCATTCACACGCACACACGATGTATAGATAAATGCCATGTTATCCTAATATGTGTTTAGGTAGGATCAACTTTTTAATAGTGGGACTGCAAGCCTAAGATTACTTATTAGGATCTTTTTACCTCTTTTTTCGACAGAGGCTTGGTGCCAATACCCCTCGAGCTGGGATCGCGGCAAATGTGCAGGCATCTGGTGAGAGGCTTGTGACCATCAGTGACCTGAAAAGGGAGGAAAGGAAGCAAAAGCTCAACAGGTACAGGGAGAAGAAGATCCAGAGGAACTTTGGCAGAAAGATCAAGGTACACAAACTAATCTCTCTTCCTTTTCTTCCCGTACTAACACACAAGTAAAATAAACAAGAAGGGTGATAGATCAGAGTGTGTGTTGCAGTATGCTTGCAGGAAGGCTCTGGCAGACAGCCAGCCGAGGGTGCGAGGGAGGTTCGCCAAGATGGACGATGGCTACATGCTCAAGCCAAGGAAGTAGACAGCCATGGAAGGCCACCGAGGTTGCTGCGAAGCTGATGAGGAAGTTAGACAAGGTTGTTGCAGGAAGCTGATGAGCACGTTGAGGTGCAGGGCGCAGGCTTCAAGCATGTTATATTTGGTGTTCCTTCTCCCCCAACAGCGGCAGCGAACCATTCAGTTGCAAGGTCGCCTTCGCTCTTATACTCGAGAGCTCTGCAAGTACTAAGAGGCGTCTCTCTGATGGCCAAGATCTTGTCTTCAACATGAACAACTCTAGTACTTAGACTCTGAGAGTATAGAGTTTACTAGTGTTGAGGATAGGAGTGTCTCGTAAAAGAGTTTGCACTGAGAAAGGCGAGCCAAAGTACTTTACTTTTTCCGTATCCCGAAACTGTCGTTCTCTAGCCTCTTTGGAACAGAGCTTTACTTAATACATGACATTTATCCTCATCTCCGTTGCCATATATAGGAGTCTCCGTTGCCATCTTACTAAATATCTCTAGTAAACCTTCTTTCTTAGGGATCCATTGATCTCTTTGGATTTCGATCTTTTTTTTGTTACCAATTCTCCAATTGAGGCCTCTCTTTAAAAGTTGGAGCCCAAATTCGATACCTCTCCAAAGTAGGGAGGCGTCGGCTTGATGCCCTGCAAATGCATAGAGTTTAGTTGTAGCTTTTTCTAATTAAGAGTATCGATCCCATAGAGAGCACATGAATCAGTCTTTGTCTCTTAGAGGATTTAAATAGCAATACTTGCAAGTTAAAAGCAATCCAAAGTAAAGTGGAAACAGTCAAACAGATAGAAGTATTCGTTGATTGTAGTGAACATCAAAGTAAACTTGCAAAACTAAAGCGAAGTAACGCAGGACACGAGTGAAGGTTGTTGAAATCGATAGGACTAAAGCGTTCCTCGGGAGTCCCAATTCCTCACTAGTATGTGTCTACAAGACTGATTTTTTTCGAAAAGGGGGTTTGCCCCGTCCTCTGCATCAGAACGATGCATATGGCCATATTATTAATAATCAAAAGGTCTAACATAAGTCTTGAGGTCTCAAACAAAAGGAAAAAATACTCACAAAGAGCATGAATGCAAAAACAGGATAGCCACAACCGGCAGGCAAAACATAAGATAGAAAACTAAACACCTATCCTATTACATGACCGCCATCCAAACCAGTTGAAGATAGCCCATGCTACCGTCTCCCATCGGATAGATCCAGTAACCAAATGCTCCCTAGCCTCCGTCGGAGTGAGTAGCGACCACATACGGATGAATGTAGTGGCCCAGAAAATAACCTGCAAGAAATGAATATTTGTTGTTCTGTTAAAAACCAAGTGGTTTATGCAGTTCCAAACTACCCATAATAAAGCACATACTCCTACACGGATATGTCTCGCTATTTCTGCATCAATCCCATCTAGCCACGTCCCAAATAACGTGTTGTTAGAATTCAGAGGAGTAATATTAAAAGCTATATGGACCGACCTCCACAAATATTTTGCCAATGGGCAGTCAAGAAAGAGGTGTTTGATTGATTCATCACTATCACAAAAACTACATCTTTTAGATCCAGTCCAGTTGCGTTTCGCCAAATTGTCCTTAGTTAGAATGACTTGTTTGTGGACAAACCACATAAACACTTTGATTTTTAAAGGCACTTTGACTTTCCAAACATGTTTCGAATGAGGAATAGCGTTAGTGTTGATAATATTCAAATACATGGATTTAACCGAAAACTCACCATTCTTAGCTAGTTTCCAGCGCAACTGATCGGGGTATTGAGAAAGGTAGACATCCATCAATCTTCTCACAAGATGGAGCCATGCTTTCCAACGTTTTCCCGCTAGCGTCCTCCTGAATTGAATATTAAGATAATTGAACTGTAATACTATTGCAACGTAAGCGTCTCTTCGCTGAACAATATTATAGAGAGAAGGATATTGGAGCGCAAGGAGTGGCTCAAACCAAGCTCCTCGCACGGAGCGGAGTTTAGAGACCGGAGAGGTTCCGAACAGGCACTTAGTAATGGCATCCACTGTTGGAAATATGCCCTAGAGGCAATAATAAAAGCATTATTATTATATTTCCTTGTTCATGATAATCGTCTTTATTCATGCTATAATTGTGTTATCCGGAAATCGTAATACATGTGTGAATAACAGACATCAACATGTCCCTAGTGAGCCTCTAGTTGACTAGCTCGTTGATCAACAGATAGTCATGGTTTCCTGACTATGGACACTGGATGTCATTGATAACGAGATCACATCATTAGGAGAATGATGTGATGGACAAGACCCAATCCTAAACATAGCACAAGATCGTATAAGTTCGTTTGCTAGAGTTTTCCAATGTCAAGTATCTTTTCCTTAGACCATGAGATCGTGTAACTCCCGGATACCGTAGGAGTGCTTTGGGTATGCCAAACGTCACAACGTAACTGGGTGACTATAAAGGTAGACTACGGGTATCTCCGAAAGTGTCTGTTGGGTGACATGGATCAAGACTGGGATTTGTCACTCCGTATGACGGAGAGGTATCACTGGGCCCACTCGGTAATGCATCATCATAATGAGCTCAGAGTGACCAAGTGTTTGGTCACGGGATCATGCATTACGGTACGAGTAAAGTGACTTGCCGGTAACGAGATTGAACGAGGTATTGGGATACCGACGATCGAATCTCGGGCAAGTAACATATCGATAGACAAAGGGAATAGCGTACGGGGTTGATAGAATCCTCGACATCGTGGTTCATCCGATGAGATCATCGAGGAGCATGTGGGAGACAACATGGGTATCCAGATCCCGCTGTTGGTTATTGACCGGAGAGTCGTCTCGGTCATGTCTGCTTGTCTCCCGAACCCGTAGGGTCTACACACTTAAGGTTCAGTTACGCTAGGGTTGTAGGGATATGTATATGCAGTAACCCGAATGTTGTTCGGAGTCCCGGATGAGATCTCGGACGTCACGAGGAGTTCCGGAATGGTCCGGAGGTAAAGATTTATATATGGGAAGTCCTGTTTCGGGCATCGGGACAAGTTTCGGGGTTATCGGTATTGTACCGGGACCACCGGAAGGGTCCCGGGGGTCCACCGGGTGGGTCCACCTGTCCCGGGGGGCCACATGGGCTGTAGGGGGTGCGCCTTGGCCTAATGGGCCAAGGGCACCAGCCCCACATAGGCCCATGCGCCTAGGGTTTGAAGGGGGAAGAGTCCTAGGAGGGGAAGGCACCTCCTAGGTGCCTTGGGGGGGGAGGGAAACCCCCCTTGGCCGCCGCACCTCCTAGGAGATTGGATCTCCTAGGGCCGGCCACCCCCCCTTGGCCCTCCTATATATAGTGGGGGAGAGGAGGGACTTCATACCGGAACGCCTTGGCCTTTGGTTGCCTCCTTCTCCCTCTCCAACACCTCCTCCACCTCCATAGTGCTTAGCGAAGCTCTGCCGGAGTACTGCAGCTCCATCAACACCACGCCGTCGTGCTGCTGCTGGTGCCATCTCCCTCAACCTCTCCTCCCTCCCTTGCTGGATCAAGAAGGAGGAGACGTGGATGTTCCGTACGTGTGTTGAACGCGGAGGTGCCGTCCGTTCGGCGCTGGTCATCGGTGATTTGGATCACGTCGAGTACGACTACATCATCACCGTTCTTTTGAACGCTTCCGTGCGCGATCTACAAAGGTATGTAGATGCATCTAATCACTCGTTGCTAGATGAACTCCTAGATGATCTTGGTGAAACGAGTAGGAAATTTTTTGTTTTCTGCAACGTTCCCTAACAGTGGCATCATGAGCTAGGTCTATGCGTAGTTCTTCTTGCGCGAGTAGAACACAATTTGTTGTGGGCGTAGATTTGTCAACTTTCTTGCCGTTACTAGTCCTTTCTTGCTTCAGCGGTATTGTGGGATGAAGCGGCCCGGACCAACCTTACACGTACGCTTACGTGAGACCGGTTCCACCGACTAACATGCACTAGTTGCATAAGGTGGCTGGCGGGTGTCTATCTCTCCTACTTTAGTTGGAGCGGAATCGATGAACAGGGTCCTTATGAAGGGTAAATAGAAGTTGACAAATCACGTTGTGGCTTTAACGTAGGTAAGAAAACGTTCTTGCTAGAACCCTAATTCAGCCACGTAAAACTTGCAACAACAATTAGAGGACGTCTAACTTGTTTTTGCAGCAAGTGGTTTGTGATATGATATGGCCAAAGTTGTGATGAATGATGAATGATCTATATGTGATGTATGAGATGTTCATGCTATTGTAATAGGATTCACGACTTGCATGTCGATGAGTATGACAACCGGCAGGAGCCATAGGAGTTGTCTTTATTCTTTTATATGACCTGCGTGTCATCAAGAAACGCCATGTAAATTACTTTACTTTATTGCTAAACGCGTTAGCCATAGTAGTAGAAGTAATAGTTGGCGAGCAACTTCATGAAGACACGATGATGGAGATCATGATGATGGAGATCATGGTGTCAAGCCGGTGACAAGATGATCATGGAGCCCCAAGATGGAGATCAAAGGAGCTATGTGATATTGGCCATATCATGTCACGTTTATTATTTGATTGCATGTGATGTTTATCATGTTTTGCATCTTGTTTACTTAGAACGACGGTAGTAAATAAGATGATCCCTCACAATAAATTCAAGAAGTGTTTCCCCTAACTGTGCACCGTTGCGACAGTTCGCTGTTTCAAAACACCACGTGATGATCGGGTGTTTTATTCAGACGTTCACATACAACGGGTGTAAGACAGATTTACACATGCAAACACTTAGGTTGACTTGACGAGCCTAGCATGTACAGACATGGCCTCGGAACACAGAAGACCGAAAGGTCGAGCATGAGTCGTATAGAAGATACGATCAACATGAAGATGTTCACCGATGTTGACTAGTCCGTCTCACGTGATGATCGGACACGGTCTAGTTTAACTCGGATCATGTAATACTTAGATGACTAGAGGGATGTCTAATCTAAGTGGGAGTTCACTAATAATTTGATTAGGTGAA